AGGTTGTGGCACAGCCCACTGACTGGTAGGTTGTGGCTCAGCCCACTGACTGGTAGGTTGTGGCACAGCCCACTGACTGGTAGGTTGTGGCACAGCCCACTGACTGGTAGACCTAAAATAAACATTTACCTTCTAAGAACTGCTATTTTTAACACTAGATCTCTCAAGCACATTGAAATGTGTCTAAGAACAGCCACTCGTCAACACTGATCAATAGTATAATTACTGGTGATTATCTTGTGTCCGTCACTGTTATTATACACGAATATTCTCGTCACTCGCAGTAGAATTAATTAAGGTTTATTTGCTGGGATTATTGCACTGAAGAGCACTTTGGTGCGTCTTTGTAAAGTGGCAAGTGTTTGTTGTGTACTTGTAAAGTGGCAAGTGTTTGTTGTGTACTTTTAAAGTGGCAAGTGTTTGTTGTGTACTTGTAAAGTGGCAAGTGTTTGTTGTGTTATTGTAAAGTGGCAAGTGTTTGTTGTGTACTTGTAAAGTGGCAAGTGTTTGTTGTGTACTTGTAAAGTGGCAAGTGTTTGTTGTGTTTTTTGAAAGTTTGTTGGCAGTAAATGTGTTTGTTGTGTACTTGTAAAGTGGAAGTGTTTGTTGTGTTCTTGTAAAGTGGCAAGTGTTTGTTTGTTTGTAATTGGTAATTGCAATGTGTTTGTTGTAAGTGGGTTTTTGTTAGTGGCAAGTGTTTGTTGTGTACTTGTAAAGTGGCAAGTGTTTGTTGTGTTCTTGTAAAGTGGCAAGTGTTTGTTGTGTTCTTGTAAAGTGGCAAGTGTTTGTTGTGTACTTGTAAAGGGATGTTTGTTTGGTTTCTTGTTAATGGCAAGTGTTTGTTGTGTACTTGTAACAGTGCAATGTGTTTTTAAATGGATGTTGTTTGTACTGAAAGTGGCAAGTGTTTGTTGTGTTCTTGTAAAGTGGCAAGTGTTTGTTGTGTACTTGTAAAGTGGCAAGTGTTTGTTGTGTACTTGTAAAGTGGCAAGTGTTTGTTGTGTACTTGTAAAGTGGAAGTGTTTTTGTACTTGTAAAGTGGCAAGTGTTTGTGTTTTGTGGAGTGTTTGGTTTTGTGGGCAAGTGTTTGTTGTGTACTTGTTAGGGCAAGTGTTTGTTGTGTACTTGTAAAGTGGCAAGTGTTTGTTGTGTACTTGTAAAGTGGCAAGTGTTTGTTGTGTACTTGTAAAGTGGCAAGTGTTTGTTGTGTACTTGTAAAGTGGCAAGTTGTTGTCTCTGTCTCTCTCGTCTCTCGCTTTGTGTGCTCTGGCTCTTTAGCTCTTTCTCTGATGCGTGTAAGCAATTTAAGTAGAACTTCAATTAGATGTTAGGAATTAGCTATATAAGGTATTGGGCTTGGGAGCTTAAATTAGGATTTGTTTGGGGGTTGGTAACACAACCTCACACCCTCCTACCGCCACGCCGTCACCTCGACCTCCCCTCGCTCCTCTCGTCTCCTTCTTCCTCTGCCTGCCTTCCTCGCTCCTGCTGTTCGGCTCGCTTCTCTCCTCTCCTGGTCCGGGTTACCGCGTGCTCCTCTTCTCCTCCTGGCGTCTAGGGGCTTACTCCTTACCCCATCAACCACCACACGATAACAACCTACGCACCATCTCCCCCCCCGCCCTACGAACAGCTACCTCCCTCACGACCAGCCCTCCTCCTCATCAACCTACACCCTACCCTCTCCTCCGTCCACCCTCCAGCACCCTCCTACGCAACACCTCCCACGCACTCTCACGACAGTCCTCTCCACGAAGTCTCAGACTCTAGACGACAGCCAAGAACGACAACGAACCACAGAAGAAGCAAGAATCGAATCGACTAAAAAAAACCCCAAGAAGTCATAAAAAAACCCACGAAAACCCGACCTACAAAAAAACTCCGAACCCCGAAGTAAGCCCCCTCCCCCCCCTCTCCAACCCCCTTGTCTTGGGGGAAAATGGGAAATTTTGGGGGACGAAAGGGGGGGGGACTTGAAATGGAAAAAGGGGGGCTTGTAAAGGGGGGTTTTTTGGTTTTTGTAAATGGCCGTGTTTTTTGGGGTTTGAAAAATGGGGTGTTTTTTTGTTTTTGTAAAAGGGAATGTTTGTTTGTGGTTTAAAAGGGAAATTTTTTGGGCTGAAAAGGGGGAAAGGGGGTTTCGAAATGGAAGGTTTTTTGGCCCTCCCTCTCTCTCTCCCTCTCTCGCCCTTCCTCCTCTCCTGGCTTCTCTCTCTCTCTCTAAATCTTTAACATAAATTAACTAATAACTTCAACTTAATGTTAAGGTTAAATCTTACTAATAATAAACGTATATTGACCTTTAAACTTATAAATTAAACTATATATGTTTGTAACTCTTGTCTAACACAACCTTCCTCCCCTCCTCCTCCTCCTCCCTCCTCCTCCTCCTTCTCTCCTCCTCCTCCTCCTTCTCCTCCTCCTCCTCCTCCCCTCCTTCTCCTCCTCCTCCTCCTCCTCCTCCCCTCCTCCTCCTCCCTCCTCCTCTCCTCCTCCTCCTCCTCCTCCACCTCCTCCTCCCTCCTCTCCTCCTTCTCCTCCTCCCTCACTCCTCCTCCTCCTCCTCCTTCCTCCTCCCCCACTCTCCTCCTTCTCCTCTCCTCTCCTCCTCCTTCCTCTCTCCTCCTCCCCCCTCCTCCTCCTCTCCTCACCTCTCCTCCTCCTCCTCCTCCTCCTCCTCTCCTCCACCTCCTCCTCCTCCTCCTCCCCTTCTCCTCCACCTCTCTCCTCCTCCTCCTCTCCTCCTCCTCTCCACCCCTCCCTCCTCTCCTCCTCCTTCCTCCTCCTCCTCCTCCTCCTTCTCCTCCTACCTCTCCTCCTCCTTCCCCTCCTTCTCCTCCTCCTCCTCCTACCTCCTCCTTCCCTCCTTCTCCTCTCTCCTCCCTCCTCCTCCTCCTCTCCTCCTCCTTCTCCTCCTCCCTCCTTCTCCTCCTACCTCCTCTCCTCCTCCTCCTCCTCTCTCCTCCTTCTCCTCCTCCTCTCCTCTACTCCTCCCCTTCTCCTCCTCCTCTCCTCCCCTCCTCCTCCTCCCTCCTCCTCCTCCTCCTCCTCCTTCCTCCTTCCTCCTCTCCTCCTCCCTCTCCTCCTCCTCCTCCTCCTC